TATATATATATATATATATATATATATATTTCCAAATTCGGATTAAATAACATGTTGAGAATTTTGACAATACGCGGAGAAAACTAGTTTTCAATATAATCTCATTTTATACCAGGGGAATCCCTTGGACTTTTTTTATGACGTCGGTCTTAAAGTGCACTCGACGTATATCCATCACAGTGTGACCATTGTCTATATGGTTGCTACATGTAGGTTCGGGAACTTTCTGTGTATATCTTAAACCGATAATGATAAAACCATTACGCCTCGATTTATTTTACATTTAGGACATTTTTGGAACTTCTGCTTAATTACGGTAATGACAAAAACCATGACGCATAATCGACTTTTCGATATATTTTACCATTAAAGAAATCTCTACAAATGATTTCCTTAATGACAGAGCTAATGACCTCTACAAATGATTTCTTTAATGACCAAAATCAGGCCCTATAAAAGGAGCCTTCGATCCAGTACAAGCGTCAGTCAGAATCAAGCAGTCAGTGACAGTCAATCATTTATCGTCACGTAGTTATTAGTAGTGAACTGTGTATTGTAATCATAGTCGCGCAGTTATTTTAAACAATTATTGTAACATCATCACGAGAAAACTGTACGAAATAAAACTGAATAAACAATTTTTATAATAATCAGTGTGACGATTCTTACAACAGGAACTGATTCAGGGATTTTCCGTTCTTGGAGGAAGGAAGAGGAATTCCCATAAAAGATGTAAATACCAAAATGTCGCAATTCGACATTTCGTTTTTTTCACACATTTTCCTTTCATTAATTATTTTATAAAATAATGTCGGCTCGATAATCGACAGTTTCTACTGTAGTATGTAAAAATGCGGACCTTTGACAGTAAATGTACGCAAGTCAAGATGCCAACGATCAGGTGGCGGTAACGGAACGAATCACGGCGATATCGCGCAATGACGCATGCACGCAACGAAATATCCCGCGCATATACCGAGATCGAAAGAAAAAAAATATACTAGGGAGGCAGGTAAAATGGGTTTTGTGAAAGATCGCCAAGTATTACCTGGAAAGTATCTACGTCACGGGTGAATCCCGACGTCAGACACAAACCGGTTCTCATGCGCGCACTGATTTTTCCTTCAACTTGCGAAAAAATGTACCGCACCACATCGTGTGTTCGTACTATTTTTCTTTTCTTCTTAAATTTTTAATCCTTTTCAATCGAGCGAGTGATAAGCTAACATATCAGTTGTACGCTGTATCCGTCAAATTACTTATCTATCGAACTGCGAGTTTGTTTTTGCGCGCTGACATTGCGCGGATAACGCAATTACGTAATATATTAGTTAGTTCGGTTGTTGATGAACTATTTACTTCGGTAATAATGACGGCAAAATTTTCGCTTTCTCAGTCGAACGTTTCTGTCAAGGTATAATCGAATTTTCGTGCACGACCGAAACATCCTCTTTCCACGAAAATCATTAGAGTCGCGAGATACCATACCGTAGAATCGCGAGAAAATCAAGTTTCGGTGTCGCGCGTGGTAACATCGACGCGTTTTCATCAAAAACTTGGCGCGAGCGTTAAAAGTTTTTGGGAAGACTCTGTTCTCGAGACTAGCGAATTGGCTTCCGTCATTTTATTACGCGTAAGTTTCCACTTTCGGCTGACTTCTAATACATAATCAGAACAAACTCGCGATGATACAAAAAAAAAAAAAAAAAAGAAAAAAAATCAATCACGCGATTACAGCAATCTACATTGGAAGCGTATTCTGTGTGTGGTGTGGGAAGTACTTGAGACCAGTTTTTGTTTCCAAGAGGCAGACCTTCATAGGAAATAACAGAACTCGCTACAATGTTACATAAAATCGTACTACTCGTTACGTAAAAAAAATAGATTATATATACTGGATGCACAGCTTTGATATCGCAAACGACGGAATATTGGAATAAACTTTGTAAGGTAGTCGTGTCGCTATCGTTGCGTGAAAAAAAAAAAAAAAAAAACAGTGAGCGTGCAAATATCGTTTTGCGCGTGTACAAATCCGAATATTTTTTTTTTTTTTTTTTTTTTATACATAAAATGTAACGAATAGTGTTCCAGAAAGGCGATCTTGTACGTACCATTCTGCAACAGACAGCTGCAAGTGTCATTCGTCAGATACTTCGGCATCCTCTTGTCGTCAAATCGTCGAGAACAGAGGAAACCGCGTTCTTTTCTCGCAGATACGATTCTTGCGAATGCGCCGCACGTGCCCGAGTAGTAACAGCCAACGGAACTGAAACGTCCTAATCAATGGAGCGTACAGCACTGTTTCACGCTTTCGATTAAGGAAGTTTATATATCTCGGCCTCGGAAGGACATTTGGCACGTGTCTTTCTCTCTCTCCGAGGAAGTTTAACAAGTAAAACTTCTGTCAATTGTTAGTTCGTTTAATTGGCTGAAAATTCGCAGGAAACATAGGCGCAATTACACATTGAATTATTATAATTTATTTACGTGATAAATTTGTCGCGGCGACTACCTTGAAAGTCAGAAAAAATGACAATTACATTTGCACACACGCGGTTAAAAAGTTGAATCTCACAAGAACGATTAAAGAGAAATTATGTCAGTGGCAAATAATTTATCGAAACTTTTTTTTAACTATGCGTAATTGTTATTGTCAGGTTTTTTGTCCTTTGAGAAAGTATGTTATTCAAATGTATAATAATTTTATTTAAACAAGTAATTTCTCATTAATTTACAGAGAGAAAACTACGCTTTAACTCTACAACACTGAATCAAATATATTTTCGGATAAGAAATTGTGCGAAGTTAAGTGACATTGTAACATATTACAAGTAAAGCAAACATAGTTCTCTTTTACGACTATTTTTCTTTATTTAAAAAACAAATCTGTTACCTCATTCCGGATTTCCGAAATTCGATGGAAAATATGATCTTGACAGAATCCTAATCAACAATGCTGTAAGAAAAATAAAATATAGAAAAGGTTTCCGAATATCTTTCGTGCGGAGGTCGCAATTTTTGTCCTTGTTCGATTGTGAGAGACGCGACGGTTCGATAGAAACTGTGAGAGAAAAAAAAAGAATACCGTGAAATATGTTTACGCGGTAGTGGTCCGAGTGGTCGTCGAGCAAAACGCGCTTTGTCGTCGTGCGTTTGTTTTGCGAGGAATGCGACCTTCCGCAGAAACAAAAGTGACAAGAAATCGAATAAATTGTATATTATTCTATGAATTTAATAGGTACGACACATTTTCTTCGTAATTAACACATAAATTCTTAAAATTAGAACAGATTTCACCGATGAGGAAAATCGATCGAAATGATAGTGTGAATCAGCACATTGATTAATTTCTGAGATTTCTACAAAATATTCTGGCTCAACTTTTCCTCTCTCGTGACTTTACGCGACTATAGCGAGATAAAAATTATGCACGTTATTTTACCGCTCGACATAATAGATTCCAAAGCCAATCGAACAGATTGAGATAACGCACGTCTGAGAATGTCATTTATCGACGAACTCCGAGTATGTTGATTGGCTGTCGGATAGAAGAATCTTAGAGTTTCTTGTATAATAGCTAATCAAACTTGAGAACTTTGATAACAAATGTGATTATCCAAAGAGAATTGACATTAAATTCAAAACCACGCAGTAAAATTTATATTTGTAAAACAAGCAGCATTTGATCGGTGAAATCAGCTCTGAACAAGTGTAAAAAAATTAACGCAAAAAAAAATATTTATAAAAATAATTGTTTTTATCGTAGATAATTTATATGAATATTTTTGATAAGTACATTGGCAATAAAAAAGATACAAATCGCACGTAATAAGTTTATTATACACATAGAGTTTTATATATATATATATCATTTTATATTAAACTATATGTATATAAAATAACATTATATAACCACATCCAATTATTAGAAACATAGATACATATAAAAATTAAAACTTTCTTAAAGTAAAATCGTTTTTCACACACAAAAATCTCGTAACTATTTTTCGTCTAACATCAAGTAATCCTAATATAATACAATGTAACAAATATTTTTTACGAGTAGAATCACAAAGTGGTAGTACAAACTCTGGTGGTTTTGCAAATTATAAAATGGTAACGTAAATATTTCTCAGATCTCAATATTATATATGATATATCATCAAACATTGTTTACATCCTCTTTAAAGCGAATAAGTACAATAACATTTTTTTGATTTCTCTTTTTTTAGATACATCGTCACAAAATATCACTTGCATAACGCTGTTATCATTACTAGTACAATCAGTTGTTGTAGATTAGCTTGTAATCAGTTATATATGTTTTGAATAATTTTCTCTTGAAGTATCAAGAAACACATGTGTGTATATGTAAAGCGTATCGTTTTTATACTAAACAGCTACAAAATTTCGTAGTATCAAAATCAATCTTCTTCATTACAAAGCGCGTTAGAAAAAACATTACGAAAATATTTCAATAAAAATTATATTGTTCATGAAAAGACCTTAAACATAATTTTATATCTCGGTAGATGAGAGTACTTCGAATTTAACATCATTTTTATTCAACTGCTCGATTAGAGAAGTTTTAGAGAACGCAGCTCCAGGAGGAAGTACTCCCCCACTGTAAAAGAAGCATGTCAAGTTAAACTCAAATGTATAAATTATATAGAATATATCACTTTTCAGTCACTTTTCACTGTTCTCACATTGACTTATTATTTAAATCGTCGAGATGGCAGTGATTTGAAAATTACATCAGATAATTGATAAGTCACTTACTTGTCAGGCATTTTGTCCGCTTCTTTAAGAATTGTAATCGCCGATAGGACTAGCATAATGGTAGTTGCGCCATATCCTGGATTAACACCGCTAACTTTTATAATCACTTTCTTGTTCGGCGGATCTGTATGCTCAAAAGTGGGTTCGGTCAATTTTTCGGTCCATCCAAGAGCTTTGCACGTTACAGAAAAGCGTGTACGTTCCAGTGATTCTGGGTTTGGACCTTCACGAGTCACATAGCCGCACGAGAATAAAGCTGGATACTACAAATACGGCGTTCGATTATTTCATTGTTGTTCATAAAGGCGGCAAATTGAATTAAATGCGTTGTCTAATACATACTCTTAGAAGTAACTTCCGACCAAACGATGTGCGAGACATGATTGAAAAGAGCCCACCAATAATGGCCAAACCCACAACAACAAGCAAAGATCTAAAAGAATGGAATATTAAAAAAAATGAAATATTTACAATTTCTTTGTTTTTCTTTATCGTAGTACTTCTAATTGATACGAACTGAAACGTTACGTAAGTCTGTATTTGCGCTGGTCTCTGTTTGTACTTCTCGTACAAGAATCGTTGGGTGCGCTGTACTACAGAGCGATCGGAACCCAAAAATGGTACCGAATATCCTCTGGAAACATCACTGCAATGTAGAAGACCTCTGCAATACACATTGTAAAAGTACTAATCTTCATCTTTTTTACCTTTGCACATGTATGCTATTGTACATGTACTTCTTAAAATGCTTTCTATCACATATACTTAAAATTATGATAATTACAAATGAGCGTACTTGGATTTTAGTGGGGGCATGAATTTGGGCAATTTGATTGGATATAATTTTGTACGCAGTTCTCGTAATTCGTTTGCATGAGCTAAACCGTACACCGCGGACTCCCAAGTCCCGTAATTCAGAGAAGAACCGCTACCGTCTCCCGAAGCAGTTAAGTAAGTTTCCACACTGTTGACTTCTCCATCAAATTTCTCCTGCGCAAAGATGACTCCTAGATCTGTAGGTATGCTGTCAAAACCGCAAGCGCTCACTATATAAACACCAGCTTCTTGAGCCGCTTTGTTATATTCCAACTGCATCCTTTCCATGTACTATATAGATGTCAACAACAAAGAAATAAATAGAATGTAATTAAGTTAGTGATATCTGTAATGAAGATAAAAATAGCGAATTACCTGTGGTTCGCCAGAGATATCGACATGATGAGTGCGAGTAGCAACACAAGCCTTAACAACTGGCTCTCCATAAAATCTATACGGACCACAGCAATTGACAATGACTTTTGCCTGTTTAGTCATCGTCTTAAGAGACTCTTCATCTTTCACATCAGCCAAAATAAGTGGCACATCATCTAACGGATTGTCCTCTAAAAAAAGTGTTTACTAATAAATGTAAAAGTTGTTAGCATGTTGTTCTATGGTGATATTGCGCAAAAAACCCACTTTGCACAAAAAATCCACCTAAATATAATTAATATGAAAAATATGGAAATTTTGTTTTGTTTCATTACCCGTTTTTAATTCTTTTAGAACAGCTTCTAAACCTTCCTTCCTACGACCAGCAATACCAAACTTCATCCTGTACTCTTTGCAGAAACGTATTGCTTGTTTTACCGCATATTTTCCAGTAAATCCAGTGGCACCAAATATCACCAAATCCAAACGTTCATTCGCCATTTTGCAGAGATCTGCAATTAATAATATTGATAAAAAATTGTTTTTGCAACCTTCTTTTTTTTTACTTAAAAAAACGAATTTTTCATTAAATGTTATAAAATTGTATAAAAAATTAAAAATATGTATTTTTATCTTTAATATGTATTTATCTTAATGATAAAATAATTGAATATGATTAATAAGCCGCACCCATACGTAAGATTAAGCAACTAAGAATATCTTATTTAAGATATTAAACTTCGTTCCGATCATTCAAATATGCACATCATCATGATGATGTATCACATAAGATGACAAGGTGTTTCATTGTACATAATAGCGGAATCAAGGTGATCTTACATCATGGGTATAACGTGACTTTTACTTTTATTTTCCGGACTTCGTTCAGATGTTTTCGTTTTTTGTCCGGTTTTTTTGCTGATACATGTTATTCCCGTTTGACTTCAAATTGATTCTACATACCTATTCGCAATTGTATCGGGTATTTATTGTGAAACTATTTCTAAATCAATATTTCAATCCGAATAATTTTAACTTTGTTACTGTTTTTTCTTGATTTCGAAAGATCTCGCAACAGCTCCCCCAATCTTGTGGCAACGTTACTCGATATACCAGTAAGCAAATATTTGCACAACACAAATTGTGTGATAAAATTGCAAGTACAATATAATACGCGTAATAGAAAACAATATACATACTTGAATGTACGATCGTATCCCTGAGGTTGACAAGAGCGAATTAACACTTCCGATCAGCTCGCTAAATGCGATCCTTTAGTCCTCTTTTCTAAAAGTGCGACGTAGAAAGCACCAGCGCAAGGCGAGACCAGACGTAACGTCACAGCGCCGCCGACATCGATGAGTATCGATGATTTTATTGGCTGTACTTCGTACAATGTAGTAGTGTGGAGAAAAATAACATCATTACACACCAGAGGCTGCTGGAAGTGGTGGGATCGCTGGACGCTAGGAGGCTCGATTACATATCCGTGTGCACGAGTCCCCGTAAGTTCGGAGCGTGCGCCGAAGAGGTACGGGTTTATTCAAGGTTTCGAGTCATTCGTTTTGCAAATAGAAGAGAAGAAAACGTGAAATATCACGCATACCGACGGAAATGTAAAATTAGTTGAAAATGTTGTTCTCCTCAGCATTCTCACGTAAAACAGGATAAATAAAATTTTTATCGTAAAGTTTTTTTAAATTTCTGCATTCGTGTTCTCACGTGGACATACAAAATGACGCTCCAAACTACCATGAAAAATTTTTTGCAAGTATATTTTCAGAAACGCTGAGTAATCTACAATAGAGATAGGTAAAATACGTTATTATAATCGCTTTACATATATCTAATATATATATATATATATATATGCAATTTTACTATGTATATTATTTTTATATATATGTATATATATATATATACTTTATATATAATTTTATTCTTTGAGTATTTACAATATCGGTCCTCATTTCCTTTTACTTTTGTAACTGATACTGTTATCGCACATAACTTCTCGTGACATTTTTGTTCGTAATAAATTACAGTTCATTTATAAATAGCTCGCTGACTTACAAATCAAGATTTTTAATCTACTGAATTTTAATTGCCATCATAAACTAATAGTATATGTATAGCATTTCCTTCTTGTTAAAAAAAAAAAAAAAAAAAAAAAATTAAGTCGCAAAACACAATGAATTAATTTCATTTTTAACATAAATCTAGTATAGTATCGCAAATATTGTTTTATTTACTTAAAATACATGCTATTATTTACATAAAAATTGCAAACTCCATTTGGCGAACATAATCTATAAAATAATCTTGTTTTGTACATTTTTAATAAAGATGTGTACGTGTGATTCTCGTGACATCGGCGCGTTCATTAATATGCAAGTTTCAGTAATGTGGCGCAGATTTTCATACGTTGACGAAAAATTTGCTATGTCGCTCTTTTTTTCTTTTCATAAAAAGTACATTAAGAATGAGAGAGCTTCTTGGATTTTCATGCATTGTTTTACAAATATAAAACTTTGATTGAAATCCGTTTGGTGTAAAAAAATGTTTAATTTTTGTTGGTAAATAGAAACACGATCGAATTACTTTTATCATTGTTTTACTGTTCAAAATGCCTTTCTGTCTTTAGTTGAAAAATATTAATATTTTTTTTTTAGGAAGAAGACCGCAGTTTATCTAAAATCTCTCTAAATTTTTTTTCTTTTTCCTTCTTTTCTGACTGAAGTAATATTGAGGTAGCAAACCTCTTTACATTCTAAAATGTCAAATAAAGAGAAGAGCATAATGCTACGTCAGTAATCCAACAGTTCGATACGAACGTGTATGCTATCGGCTTACACTAATATTTACAAGTATGTCACATCAGTTTTGCATATATTCAGAATACAAAACTATGAAGGTAATAATATAACAAACGCAAAGAACTAATGTTCACTCTGTTTTACAAATTTTAAATCGCAAGCATCAAGAACACCATAAAAAAGATGCGTAGTGTTACTTTTTGTTTTGATTTTTGTATTTGTAACAGCGTGTTTGACTGACGTGAGTTTAATAATCGCAGCGCGTGACAACACACGCTATTAATTTTTTTGGACATCAACTATACGTTTGTTTCTTTTGGTATATTTGTTTTTTTCTTTCTCTTTTTTTTTTTTGTTATGATGAAATGCTGTAACACACGTCGTTATCTTTTAGGAAATGTTATGTAATACGCGTTTAATACACAATCCTATGGACGTAGGGTCGCAATAGAACTGTGTGTCCATTTGTACCTACTGCAACATGTTTTAATCAAAATAGTTCAAATAGTGTGAAGAAGATTCGTGAATGTTTCCCAGATATATAGAAATTATTATGCAATATCATTACGGAACTCCATCGTGTGCGTGAACTACATATCTATAAACTAAATATATATAATTATATATATAAATTTATATATATATATATATATATATATATGTATATAAACTATATATATATGTATATATGTATATGCCTACATATATATACACACATGTACACAGGCCGGTATTTACAGTCGGATCTGATACTGATTGTTAGAGTCTCAAGTTTATCTTCATATTAATCAAGTCAATGATACAATATCATTAGATGAACTTAAAAACTCTCTCCTCGTTGCAGTCCTTGTTTAAGAACATCAGCGAGAGATTACACACTGAAAGTTTCTTGCAGCTTTGATTTTTTTTCATAAAAATATAAAATTGTTTCTGGAAATCTATATAAAATATGCCGCAAACTCTGATATCCGTCCGATATGTCACTGAAAACGTGAAATACTCACAAAAGTAGCGAATATTATTTCTCTCATAAACGGAGATTAGATTTATACACAAATCGAGCTTTCACATTTAATTTTTCACTATAACTGAGTTTGCGGTATATTCACTATCACTATATTTGCGATACAGAATCTCGTTAGATAAACTTCTCATAGAAAAATTAAAAAATAAAAAATGTTATAATTTGCAAGAAACTTTTAGTAATATTTCTGACATCATTAAATACGTGTACACACACACACACACACATATGGATTAAATATATATACCGGCCGTAGAGAATATAAATTGTATACATGCATTTATATATAAATTAGTATCGAAAATGCAAAATATATGCGCGTAGCGCGGAAGCCGTTCGTTTTATATTTTTACATAACAAAAAGATACGACCACAGTACGGACCAGTTATTATTTGACGCTTCTTTGAAGCCTATTTCACAAAACTACAAGTCTTTTGCATTAGCAACTGTCTAAGGAATATATTGTAGTTTTATAAAATGGATCTTTAGAGCATTCAAAACTGTGTAACGCACATTTTTGCTTTAAACGCATCAAAGAGGTAGTACGACACGTGGACGCGTAAAAAATAGTAAAAGATTTTTGTCGAACATTCTGTTTTATTTGATTAATATCAATCGAAGTCTCAGAAATGCGAAGAGCGTTTAAACTTATTAAACCGTTCGAACTAGACCGTACCTAGACTGGTATGCGCAAAAAAAATATGTACTCCGTTACGGCCTTTGACACGTTCACCGTTTTTGCCACACACCGTCTTTCTATTTCGTATCTTCGCGGTTTCTAGCGGAAGAAGTTTTACCGCATAATGAACGTGTTAAAGAAGTCTTGTCAAAATTGCACGAATGATAAAATCGTAACAGAGAAAAGTAAAGTTACTTAATCATGAATCAACCAGTAATAAAAACAATTTTATCAATAAGTCATAAAACAGTCGTTCGCGAGAGTCGAAATTAATATATAATTTGGACAATGTCATATACTGTATTATGTATATCGTTAAATTAAACTATATTGTTATCTTATTTTGCCATGATATATCTGCCGCAAACGATTTTCACGAAATATCAAAACTAGCCAAGTGAGATTGAATTTCTGATCATAATTTAAGCAACTGAACTGTTTATTTTTGCTCACTAACTCGCCCACGATTTGTCGATGCTTCACACAGATTCCGTTGTACATACATTTCAATGTATAAAAATCTTTTTCTTCGTGATACGCTAAGAATATAATTCTATCTCGCATAATTCTTTCCTTTTCATGATTTAGTTATTCAGTTATTCATAAGGTTTTTTTTACAAACCTCTCAAACATCTTTTTATTGTTATCTGCATGTTAAGTATCGGAATACGTTTGTTTTTTTTTTGTTTTTTTTGTTTTTTTGTTTTTTATACATAGATACACAGGTATGGTGCATGTTACAAAAACACCGTGTTTAGTGTGTTCAGCACTTTTCACACGTGGAGGTATATAATTAACGCTGTCACGAGGACTCTCACTTGCGGTAAAATTATATACAAAATCCTGACGTATCGCACATACAACCGTGAGGAAAAAAGAAGCACTAGGAATTGGCGTTCGGCGGTGGTGGTCTTCTGTCGTAGTCCCGCCTGTATTCTTTCGGCCGCCAATCGCTGGAGTAGCTATCTCCGGGATAACCTCGTCCTCTAAAATGACCGCTTGGCGTCATATCCGTGGGAGGATAGCCACCGCCACCGCTACTACTTCCGTAACCACCACTTGGACCGTATCCATAACTTGGCGGTCCTGAATATCGGTAATATTCACTAAAAAGAAAAAAAAACAAAACCAAGCCATTAAGTAATTAAACCTCATCAAGCAGATCAATTTTCAGAGAAAAGCGCATATATTCACCTCCTTTTTTCGTTTATGTGCATGCCACGATCTCGTTCTCGATCTCTGTCTCTATGATAACCACTGGACATTCGACTGTAAGGCTCGAAGCGATCACGTTTGTGATCTCCAAATCTGTCGGACAAACGAAACGAAACCGATAAAGGCAACAATTATATAATCATGATTTTATAATTTGAATAGGGAACTGAATTGTATGTGTGATCCGAACGCAGCAAAAGATCTTACCGTGAACTATGGGACCCGTACCTGCTGTCTCTCATGTCCCTCCCCCCGTCTCTGGGTAACCAGTGGTCGTCGTCTCTGCCGCTATAATGTGCCATAGTGTATCCGCCGTCTCTCCTGAGTCTGTCGTCTTTTCCACCGCTTATTCTATCATTCCTGTCGTTGTGCATCCTATCTCTATCCCTATCTCGCTCTCTATCCCTTTTCATATCTTTATGCTTCGACTCTTTTTGTTCTTTATGTCGCGGCGTGTCTGCGCTATTAGTAGTACTTGATGTGGAATTTGGTGTTGACGTTATAGGAGTAATCGTAATAGCACCAATAGTAACCGCGGACGTGCCGCTGATATTGCTGCCGACGGCGGAAATATTCGAGAGGTGTTTCTTACTTTGCGTACTGCTATTCGAGTTCTCCTCGATATCGTCCAATTTACGTTTCGTTATTCTGTTGTCCTTATTGTTGCCGTCCGCTTGGTGTTGCTTGTCGATATGCTTGTTATCGTACGACGACTTCTCATTGTGTTTCTATTTTTAAAAACAAAACCCAAAAGATAAGTACACTGTCGATTCTACTGTGCGATAAACAAAACACAGTCAACGATACCTTTGAGGAATTTGTCGCTTCCTCCTTCTTGTCGGGACTAGTCATGGCACTGACATTAGTGATGCCACCTTGTTTTATCAAATTCTTGTATGTTCTGTACAGTTTCCTTGCTTTGAACGTTGTGAACTTGGAAGCGAATTCCCAGAGATTGCTTCTCCATTCGCTGATCTGCACTGGATCTTTGTACTCCTCTAAACACATGTTAATGTGATTGCCGATTTGCAAGAGGCATCGACGAGCGCGACCGAGTTGTTCTTCTCTGCTCAAAGACTCGTCTGTTTGTCCTAGTGCCTTCAACGACTTCTTTACAGGTCTCATCTTTTCTTTACACTGTATGAAAAAAATTATATAAATATTATCAAATTTATATTTTGTAAATAAATTATATGCATTGAACGTTTTGTATGTATCACAGACGAGCTAAAGCAAATCAATATAGAATAAGAATAACATTAACCTCATCGAATATCTTAGGATCCAATTCGCCAAGTACGTCAAGAGCCCTCGGTTCATTATTTGCAGTGAAGTGCATAGGACCCGCAGCTTGCTTATTCTTCTTTGCTTTTTCTTTCTTCTCTTTCTTCTCTTTTTTAACTTTCTTATCGGTTTTCTTCTCGTCGGATAAATCTTCTTCGTCTTTCACTTCTTTGGCAACAACGTCTTCTTCTTTCTTAACCGTGGGCTATAATTATACATATATTTAACATAAATGCACAAAATTCGAAAGAGAGAAAGAAAAAAGGTACTTTCTTTCTCATTGAAAACTTACCTTCTCAACTTTGAATTTCAGCTTCTTATTTTCGTCACCAGAACTGTCATCTTCCACAATCTCTTTAGTAATTGCTGCTTTTTCCTTCGGTTTTCGCGTCTTTCTCATTCGTGTCTGAAAAGATTGGTCAACTTACAGAAAGTGTAAATCTAACAATAGAATAGAATTTAATAATAGAATTTGTGTGATATATAATTATATAATTATATCACACAGTCTATATTTGTACACAGTGTTATTATACGTTACAATTATTTGTCAAAAAATACAGGAAGAGAGGAAGGATGAAGAAGGATTGGGGAATATTACCTGGTATTCGGTTTCTAATTGTAGGAAAAAGACATAACCCTGTCGGAACAAAGAGAATCGGTGAAAATAAATCTGCTAATAAATATCAAATGCAAAGTGACCTTACCACTCCTAATTTGAGATCAATTTGCTTTTTCAGGATCTTCAGTAGATACTCGGCGCGTGCGTTTACGCGTTTAAGCTGCTGCTTGTTGCCATTGGGCGAAATCTTGTTGCTGAGTCCCAAACTGCTATCCATTTGTATCGCTTCCCACGAACCCATGCCATGCTGATATATACCTCTCAACAACTTGGAATCGTCGTCGGAAGTCCATTCGCACTCAAAATTCGCAGGTTTTAACCTGAAATATCAAATTAAAAAATTACTTGCAACTTTATACACATTTATTTCATTAAATATTTTTATTTATCATTCTTATTTACCGTTTCTTAATTTACCATTTTTTAACGATAAAAAAAACTTGAAAACTTACTTGATGTCCAGATGCCAATTAGCACGTTGTTCGGGATCGGACGGCAAAACTTGTTCCAAAGGTTCAAGTTCCTTAACCGCAGTCGAGAAAGATTTGGCGTTCACCATAACGCCGCCTACCTTAAACGTAGGCCCTTTTCCTCTCTTACGACCAGGCCCTTTGCCTTCCTCTTCGCTAACCTTGTTCTCCTTTGTAGTGTTTTCGAATTCCACTAAGCACGAGTCGCATCTCGACTTAAGTTGTTCACCCAAGAAACGCAAATCCGACATTGGTTTCTCCTGCAGGTCGGCATCGGTCGCGATATCGTCTAATCGTTTCAAAGGTGCTGGGAATTTCTTGAAACTTTTGATAAATCGTCGTATCTGTAAGAAAACATTATTGTTGTACATATAAAAATGCGTGAGCATTTTTTAATGTAAAAAAACAATTGGTTACGTACCTCAGCGTCGGTGAAACTTTTGATATTCTCGCGCGGTGTGACTCTCGGTCTACCTCTCTTCTTGGGTTTTTCATCATCGCTACCATCCGCATCGCTACCTTCATCCTCTTCATCACTGTCATCTGTTTTCCTACGTTTTTTACTTTTCCCTAAATATAAAACATCGGTTTAGATTTCGTTAGATTTCGTGAAAAAAAAAACTATAATACATACCTTCACTCTGATTAGCTTGTTGAAGAGTTTTCCGACTTCTCGGCGGTAAATAAAGATCTTCCATTTCTTTGGATTTTTCTTCTTCTTCTACCTTTTTCCGAAAATTTTCTGGTATGATTTCCGCCTAAAATTCATACAACAACGTTAAATAAATGATCACTTTTTTCCTTGATTATTATTCTCTTTAAAAAAAAAAGTTAGAAAGTCAAAGTATTTACCCAGTCTTTGCTCTCGTCATCGTTATCGTTCGGCTGATTGATAGGTTCCAGATCCTCCTCGGCTGTTTTAAAACTGGCAACTTTAAAAGCAGACAACAACTCATCACCAACCGTTGTCGGTCCCTCGTCTCTTGTTTCAGCTCTTCTTAGTATCTCGTCAATATCACACTATTTTTAACAGAATTCGCAAGTGTTACAAAATAAAAATTATATTAAATACTAATATATGTACACAATTATAAATAAACGACATTGTATTTACCGATGGCTCCTCATCTCCGCCTTCTTCATCTTTAAACAAATCTTCTGCGCCAAATTTCAAAATAGCAGTCAAGTCTTCTTTATTGAACGGATTACTATTGGATCCCGCGTTCTTCTTATCCAAAACTGTCCGACCGGTTGTGTCCATTCTCTGTATCACTAAATGATCCAGAACCATTTTCTGCTTCGCACGCTCCACGATTTCTTCCTCGACCGACTTTTTAGTTACCAGTCGATAAATATTGACCTATATATCCGATAATATAAATTATTTATTACAAGACTTAACGACAGGATATAAGTTTTCCAGACATTTATATGATTGTTAATCTCAAGATACAAAGAGAAGCGAAAGCGTACCTTATTTTTCTGTCCTATTCGATGAGCTCTGGCCTGGGCCTGCAAATCGTTTTGCGGATTCCAATCGGAATCGAAAATTATCACAGTATCCGCGGTAGCGAGATTAATACCAAGGCCACCAGCTCGCGTCGACAACAGAAAACAGAAGTCCTGCGAACCTTCGGCATTGAAGTGATCCAATGCCTGCTTCCTCAGCTCTCCCTTTATACTCCCGTCTAATCTTTGGAATGGGAAGTGTCTCTTTTGTAGATATTCGCCGAGTATGTCCAACATCCTGACCATTTGACTGAATATCAACACCCGGTGTCCTGTGTCGCGCAGTCTCACCAATAACTTATCCAGAAGCACTAATTTACCAGATCCACGAATTACTTGCTGCAAATAATCTTCGTTACCCTTGTCCCTCTCCTCCTCGTTAGGTTTCGTAAGAAAGGCGTGATTGCAACACTTTTTCAATTCGATAACGATGTTCAGGAATGTCATGGTAGATCCTTTCACGCCTTTTCGCAACGCTTCATAATTCTTGGTCAGTATCCACTTGTAGTATTGCTTCTGCAAGGATGTCATTTCCACTCGCAGGATTTGCTCAACTTTAGCGGGCAACGATTTCTCGACGTCCTTCTTTACTCGACGTAGGATAAACGGCTCCAATTGTTTGTGCAACTTGGAGTATCCTTTCGAGGAGGTATTGTCGTGTTCCTTTTCGAATTCTTGCCACGAATCGAATCTGTAATGATCGAATCTAATGTGCAAAACGATGCAACAAATGTAAAAAAAACTATTTTAAAAAATTTTACAATTATAAATAGATACGTGTACTTTTAAAAGTTTTTTCCATATAAATCCAAATAAATAAAGAAATACTTACTTTGCAGGCATAATGAAATGTAATAAAGCCCATAATTCTTTCAAGCTGTTTTGTAACGGAGTACCGGTAATCAATAAACGATGATTGGTGTTGAACTCGCTGAGCGCTTTGTACAGAAGTGAATCGTCGTTCTTCAATCTGTGCGCCTCGTCCACCAACAAAACCGCCCAATTTAAAGCACCCAAAAATGCTTTGTCTTTAAGTACGATCTCATACGTTGTAAGTATGGCGTTGAACTTTAGTCTCTTTGATCCTCTGTAGCACCATTCATATTCTCTAATCTAAAGAGATAAGAGATGCAATTTAATTTTTACTCCTCTAGTAGTTCTTAGTTAGAATATTAGAAAATAACGAATAATACATACAATATTACGCGAATTGACATCGCCTAAATAAGTAACAAAATTCATGTCAGGAGCCCACTGGGACATTTCTCTTTGCCAGGAAGTCATAGTCGATAGTGGAACTACTAATAAAAATGGACCGTGAAGTTGTTGCGTGTAAAACAAGTAATAAAGGAAGCATATCGTTTGGATTGTTTTGCCGAGACCCATCTCGTCGGCTAATATAACACTGCAAAGAGACACAATTTGTTAGAACAATTGAATTGATACAATCATTAGACCATAGCTTTTTTTTCCTAAAAATTTTTTACCTATTTTCCTTGCACCAAGAGAGAATCATCCAATTAAGTCCGTCCATTTGATAATCTCTTAGCACTAAGTCTCTTTCTTTGCCCATGTAGCTCGGTTGTGTTTTCACATGATGAAATTTGGGTCTAGTTTTAAGAACCTTACAATGTTTGCTAGGTGTTCTTTTGGAGTCTTCTCTGTCGCGAAACTCTTTTATCTTTGTCGGCCATTTTTTCACGATTAGAGCTCCGTCCTCCCAAGTGGCTTCGGCATATGATAGATTTTCCCACTTACAATAATAGTCGGGATGTTCCGCCTCCGGTTTTTGATACTCAGCTGATGAGAAAAAGATTAGTATAAAAATGTATACTTAATAATAGCATTTTAAATTGATTTGAAATATTTAGTTTCAATAAATATATCCAACAACAGACATAAAAAATCCATACCAATGATCCTTTCAACATTGTTGTAACTTTTCAAAAGATCTTGCTTGAGCTCCAATTGACACTCCAAGTAGTCTAAATCTTCTGGTTCTGCGTATTCTCTCATCTGCTCGAACTTGCGCTCGCGCTTGATAAAGTTATCCAACTTTTTCATTCCTTTCACCTAACAAATACAAAAGTATGTTATACATCTGAAGGAAAAAAATTAAATTTTTAAAATGAAAATTAAAAATTGATTTAATGCTATACTTTTTGTGCTTTCAAGGATTCTTCTGACTCCCACGTGTTGTGTATGTGAGACCAACCTTTCCATTTGATCAAATATTGTATTTCAGTTTCTACATTACTGAGATCCTTCGGATTGGGATCGCCGTTTTCCTCGACGGCATAGATAGTCGTCACGTTACCGGTAACTGTATACATAATTATATTTATAATTCTTTATGTATATGTTACGATTAACAAAGTGTGCCATGTTATGCGTATAAAAATTGACCAACCTCCTTTCTTGCCCACCCTCTGTCCCAGAATTTGTTCAATAGTTTCCGCATTATCAGGTTCTGTCGATACAGCGTTTGGGTCGTCAATCTCGACCAAATCATCACTGTCCGTATTTTCTTCGCTTTCCTCTTTATAACTAACGGCCGCGCCTGTTCGTCTCGTAACTTGTCTGACAACATAGTTTAATACGCGATTATTAAAACAACCACAATATCTTTAAATATATTTTCTTTTTTGTTCAACTTTCATGTCAACTCACATATACCTTTTATTGTCATCGCTTTCAAAGGAAGAATTTTCAGAAGATTCGGAGATACGCTTTTTCCGCGCTCTAGCTTTCTCTTTAGCATTTTGCGCAGCACGTTTGTTCAGCGACTTGCTAGGTGGGGGCCTCCGATTCTCGGTTTCATCGGATTCTGAATCTGAACTTTCTGAATTCCACGAATTGCGTGAACTAGAAAGGGAACAGTCAAACTATTAAAAATTCAAGGATTTATCTGTATAAATAATCTGTATAATATAACTGTTTACTTTTTTTATACAAAATTTTAATATTTATTTACAATATTAATATATTTACAATATAAGTAAAATTGATTATTATATATCATCCATAGCATAAATTTAAAAAAAAAAGATAAATTTTTATTTTTCATTATCTGAAACTATTAACAAGTAGTCCAAATTTAAGCTTTATAAAAAAATAAATTAAAGTAAACTAAAAAATTTAATAAGTCATTATGTGCCAAACCAAAATAAAATTCAATTAATGCGAAAAGAAATATGTGTATTCTTCTGTAAATAAGTATAAAAAAGCACAATTTAGACTATAAGATATAAAACTTGACACAATGACAAAATAAAAAAATATTGTTACGATTGAGATGTCAAGAGTTTTATCGAACGTCGCATTTGACGCATATTCGATGTATTATCAGATTAAACAAGAATATAAGAGTAAAATCACATCATTATGCAATAACACACTGATAAGAGTGTCTGTCGCACGTACACAATATTTACGAATGTACATGTATGCTATGTATGGATATAAGTAAGTTGTGAGATAAGCAGAAATCAGCAAAAACACATAAAGTCCATTCATCATACCGGATTCTACGAACAAATGCAATGAAAATGATTAACGGAATATAATCTACGATAAAAATGACACCTTACAAAGACAATGACTTTTACTGACCATTTCTCTTGTATCGCAACAAGAATAATTTTATCTGATATGAATATTTATCTGATAAACGAGTATGATAAAAAAAAAAAGCCAAAATTCAAGGAATACAGTTTAACCGTATATTATCGATTGTTTTCTACGTCGACTAGTAGTTACAAGATCACAAGAGTTTTTTGATTCTGCATTAGCCATCTAGGACTTCACAAGTATAATAAGACAACTACAACCTTGCTTCCGTGATATCTTGTAATTGACAGTAACTTGCTCAAGCCGATATTGCGACGTGTTTTTTCTCCGGATTTTACTTACCTTTTCTTTTTAAATGTCTTGCGACTATCGCTATCGCTTGTGGTGAGCCTATCAGGCTCCTTCCTGGAACGCCCCGATCTTCGAATGCCGTATATATCAGGATTCTCTTCCCATTCGCGATTAGTCTCGTGTTTACTTCTAAGCTTTGTTTCTGTGCTGTGATTCGAGCTTTTGCTTTGGAAGCTATCACTTTGTGCGCTAGGTGCATCCGACTTCTCTGACTTTCCTGAATCGGAACCTGACTCGGAACCGGAACCGGAACCGCTCGACGAGCTAGAGTCACTGCATTAGCAGCCAATTCATTTCACTAATTACACATTTGGATTATGCGTACACACATAGAGAGCATCTCGAAATATATTTATTTCAGACTACTTGTAGTTTATCTTAAAACGAAATACAAAAAATCGATGTTTTCAGTACAGAAACATAAATTTAATTTCGCTAAATCTTAATTGGAAACTATACAAAAACAGATGATTAATCAAAAGATAGATCAAAAAATAGAAAAATTAGAAACAAATTATAAAACTAACTTCGTACGTTACAAAAAATAAGAAAATATATCTTTAATTGGAAATTAAATACATCTTTAATTGGAAATTAAAAAAATATACTTCAAGATATGATTTAATATAAATGTATATATATACACCAGAATTGCCGTACAATCTCTCGTAGGCAGGTAGAAGGAGTAAAACTAAGTCAAAAAGTCCTGAACCATTTTTTTCTATTATTTATAATAAAGGAGTAATTATTGAGTAAATTAGACCAATCAGCGCAGACCTTTAGCCATACGCACGTCACTGAGCGCTCACACACACGAGGCGCGCGGCTCACTGACGTGCGTCTGGCTAAAGGTCTGCNTTCAGGACTTTTCGACTCAGTTTTACTCCTTCTACCTGCCTACGAGAGATTGTACGGCAATTCTGGGACACCCTGTATATATATATATATATATATATATATATATATATAACAATATGTACATATATATATATATATGTACATATTGTTCAATATGACACGTGTAACTATTATTATTTTTTTGTATAAATTTTTTATTGAAATTTGTATTCACTTTGAATATAGCTCGACACGAATGTATATCAATAAATAAGTTGGCTAATGCTACAGAATATTATAGCTCATCTAACATCGCAAAGTTGACTTTTCAGTACAAGCAAATATTATGATATAAATAAAAAGGAAAAGAGAGAGAGAGAGGGAAAAGAGAAAGAAAGAGGGAGAGAGGGAGAGGAGAAAAAGGGAAAAAGATAGAAGAAAGAAAGAGGACACAAGAGAAAAAGAAGAAAGAGGAAGAAAAAGACATGAGTTGTGCTCACAAAAACCCAAAATAAAGAACACGAATAAGTTAGCAAAATTATTAATACAAATGTTATTACTATGTGAAGCTTTAGCAATACACAAGTAACCATTTGTGTGAGTGGCACTAATTTGAAAAAAAAAACCCTTATACATCAGAGAACCTGATATGCACTTGTATCCAGTTCCATGTCTTCTACTTTGTGTTGTACGTTAAATGTGGAACGTACATTAATGCGTCACATGCGTGTTGTATATATTTTACATGAACCAGATATTCTCAGAGCAAAACTAACGATCTACTTAAGTGAAAAATGAAGATAAGAATATTTATTCTCAGGAATAGTAAGTGAAATATAAATGTTGAAAAACGTTGAAACGTTCATTAAAATATTATTGGACATCGTCACTCTAAAATCAAATCTAAGACATGATATTTTTGTCTAGCTAGAATTTCAACAGGTAACATGTTCTAAGTTATGATGTATAACACATAAATTTTTAATCTAGGACAATTTTGGTGCATATGTATCATTAGACATAAATACGTCGATGCAAGTTTGTGTATCAGGTCTCACGACTTTCAGGGCGATCGCCGAGTCTTATCTTCATACCCACCTTTCCGATTCAGAACCTGAGCCGCTGTTGCTCTCGGAAGAAGAGCTATCACTCTTGCTATCATTTTCAGAATCCGATCCGGTTTCCTTGCCGGATCTCGATTCTTTATCAGATTCTAATGTTTGCTGTAAAAGTGAATCATATTGATTGCATATAAATTTCTATTTTATCTTTTCATAAAATCGCGCTCGTCGTGTGTTGTTTGGAATAGTTAGCTTTTGTAACATCATTGCATTTATCGGAATATATTTCACGATTCTTAATTCAAAATAAAATTTTATTTTAAACAAATATACTCTTGCTACTTAGAAGCAATATAGTATAAAATTAAAGAGAACCGTCGAGTTTTATTGCGCGTTTCTTTATTTCTCTGACCAGCTCATCAAGAAGTGAAACGCTCTTATCAAGAATTCGTCTTCCATTTTGTGACCGCTGTCCGCCATCTTGTCCTCCTGCTCGTATATCGTTAACCTCTCCAGAAACGCAAATAATTGCAATTATTTTATGGTTTTAACATTCTTTTGACTTAAGTAAATAAAAAAATTAATGTGTAGTACATTAACGTGTAATATTTAATATTTTTTATAATTAATTGTATGAATATTCTCTATATCAAACGTGAAAATTTCACTTGTGAGATTAAATCTAGGCTGAATTTCTTAAACTAGACGTTTTTTGCATCCATTTTGCACGATAGGTCACAATAAGATTTTTACATTTATGTTTCTATAGCCTAAGATGTTTAATATAAAGGTATACAGGCATTAGGAATAAATAACAGATATCATCTTAAAAGAGATAATTTATAAGTTTATTGAATATTTTTAATTACTATATATGTAAACGTACATATCTCAGTCACTGGTACTTGAGTAAGATATGCAAGTACAAAAAGTATGAGTAAATAGCATATTTGTACATGTGTACCTATAGAATTTATGTAATATACTGCATATATTGTAATTCATACTATCTAGATTTGACTAGAACAAACTGAAAGATAGGAAATAATATAATTCTTAAGAATATTCATAATTGTATCCAACAAATCCTATAAATATTATCCAAATGTTCAAAAGTATTAATATCTGTTGAACTACCTGAGTTGCAGAAGAACCTTTTACACCAAAATAAATATAATTTTATACTAATTGCAAGTCCATATTATGTTGAAGTATTTTGACAGATCCACTGCAAGTCCGTATTATTGAAATTTGCTAGTTACAATCATGATTTTTATCACAGAAAGATTGAGAACAAAATGTTGAAGACATAGAGAGCAAATAAAAATTCTCTTCTTACACTGCAATTTTATCTTTTGTTTATATACAAATGAAAGTGATTCCTTATTCTCTTTTTATAACAAAAATTGGTGACACAAGTCACACTTTCAAGCTACTATTAGTCAGTATAGAGTCATTAAAAATTTAAAGCAGTCTATACTACAGACTACTGCATAAATTATCTATTAGATTAAAAATATATAGAGTATAAAATTAATTATGTTTAGTACAATAATGTATTTGTTTCTTACATAATATGTATATGATTAACAGAAAAATTTAAGCTCAAATATTGTTAAACAGATAAATAATTTATTTACTTGCTATAGATTTTCATATTATTATCATAATACTTGCATGTTTTGTTAATGAAGAAATAAAATATTCAAATACAAACACAAGAGCAATTAATTTTGTTTTACCACTTATATCATACATCTATGTTACATTTTGTCAAAATCTGTGATTGTTCTTACGTGTATTTTCCAATTTTTCTCATATTTTTCTATTATGTGTACACATGATAACTAACCTCCACTCACTGTTTTAACTGTAACATTCATTTTGATTACTCTAATGATTAATAAAATAGATTTTGTTTTACAATTATTCTCATAATTGCATCAAACTTATTTCTCAAATTGGGCAAGATTAATCAAGATGCAATATAATTGATATCAAGATGCAATATAAATGTATTTTTATATCCCAAATGTAGTTTTTGCCATAAATATTATGTATCAAGGTTGCAACTCTTAATATCGAGAAGCAGATGCAAATGAAATCTGCAATCATTGACATTTTCAATGTTACATAGAGCATTTTAGAGCATACACAAAGACTGGAGTACTTTGACAGATTCAAATGTGTCTATCATACGCTATAGTTGCCAAGTTATTAAGTAAATTTCTGTGAAGAACTTTCAAAGAACAAAAATCACTGAATATTTTCTACATTCCTCTGACAAAAATGCACCAAAATGATGGATAAACACAGTGAGGATTGTGTGACAGGCTCCTGATCATCAGACAAGACTGTGCACAACAATATTTGAGCTCAATTTGCAAAAATGGGTACATTTTTTATTTTTGAATAAGCCTGATGCCAGGCTAAAGAAAAGTGTGAGGAATCGTTTGCGACAAAAATTAGGATGTTACAACAATGTTTTCTGTGAAAAATGTCACATTGACGCGATGTAAACAAACTTTTATAGGTTATTGAGACTGGAAAAGAGTGTAAAGTAGCGAAAAATCGTGACAATGAAGAAACGAATTCCTGAGCCCGCAAGATGCGTGGGACCCCGCCCAACGTGTCGAAGATCTTCGCAAAAGGGTTTCAAGGGTTTTTTCGCATTTTTATAACGTTTTAGTCGAACATCGGCATGTCGGAACGCATGTGGCAACGCGATTTTCCCCTATTCCAAACAACACCGCGACCAGATCGCGCGATACGCACGATAACGCGTGAACGTGCGAAAAATGCGTCGGTTAATCAACGGCGATAAAAATTATCCGGAAAATCCACGATAAACCCGATCAAAATCGAACCTGAAGTTCAGGTGGTCCGGTGGTGCACTCACCTGCATGGCTCCGTGTACGCGTCGCAACGATGATCCTAACTATTACGTGCCGTAACGCGTAAAATCCCACCAATTCAATCGAAATACGATCGCACACACACGTGTCCGCGTTATTGAATCACTATTGATGCCGTAGGTGCGACATCGTGCGAAACTATCAAAGTATCACGTACTATATGGACACGAACTTAAGAGCTACGCCGCCATTTTGTGGACTCGTCTTGCTCCAACTTCGTCCCCCCTGCGTCTCGCTTTCGTTGTCCATCCCACTACGCAAGCGCCATCTCGTCTCTCGCCCCCCGTCCCAACGCTCTGCCGACCAATCGCGCGCTATCCCAACGCGAGAACCGGTAATTGCGCCGGCGCAAAATCGCCGGAAATGACAATATGGCGCTCGTGTCGACTGGTTCTTTAAAGCAACGCTTACGTACGCGTGCGCGTACCGGAAAGACGATCATTAAAAAAAAAAAAAGAAAAAACGTAATTATCGCCAAGAAGCAACTGTAAAGTAATGAAATTGTTAAAACTGAAAGAAAAACTCTGCCGAGAAAATTGGTCATGCAATTTTTTCACACCGATTCGACGATTTCGGACACTCGCAATTCTTCTAGGTCGGACAAATCGATATCGAAGCGCGAACAACGACGACACGGACAACGTTCGTCAGACAGCCATTTTGAGCACCCGTGTGTAAGCAATTCTACCCACAATGCGTGGCGTAGCGTTCTTTTTCGAATACGTACACACATACTCGCGTACTTTACATGCGCAGTTTCCGGGAGTTGCTCAAAATGGCGTCGACACAAATGTTCGAGAAAATTTCTCGACCATGACAAAGCACTTTTGCTATATCGACTTAAATTTTGACATTTCAACCACAGATTTTTACACTTTGCAATTTAGGTGGTAAAAAAAAGCAAATTTTTTTTAAGACAGGACCGAGATAATCTGAGTAAGAACGTGTATATAATTTAACGTGAAAAAAAGCGTGAATAGAAAAATTGCCAAGTCACTTGTGTGTGAAATCCATCTCGATTTCGCGTACGACATATCGCGCGTAGAGATTTGCGCGTTATCGATTTTCTCGTGAGTTTCACTTACGAAACGAACGACGGAAATCCCGGATTAGAATAAAACGATTTTAGCTACTCGCGAAGGGGAAAATCGCCATGATAATTGCCACAATACGATCGCGATAACGGCAAAAAAAATAAATCTCGTCGAATTAATTCGAATCATACTGGAAACAATACAACATACATATGTATATATATATATATATCTCACGTCTTTTCTCGAAACTTCTCGCCATTTTGGAATACGAACGAACGAAAATCATCCGAGAGAAACGATTTTGAAACGCGTTTCAAAGTGAAATCGATACATACCACATGGTATAATGAATTTTTTCAAGGCTCAGGAACTCGAGCGTTTAATTCTAGCACTTTCCTCGTCACGCAGATGGGAAACACAAACGTCAGCAATGTCGGATGTGAAGCGGCCGTCTCTCTAAGAACGCTAAGAGGCAACGTCTCCACGCAAAGTGCGCAAGCGAAGACGGGAAGAACGGAGCACAGTAAGCGGTTTTCCATTAGATATCGGGACGGATCGATGCCCGGGTCGCTACTTCCACCAGATTTCGCGCAGTTTGCGTGTTGCGACGCCGGGAAAACAATGTCGACTGAACGACTGGCTACGCCCGTTCCAGTGGAAAGCTAACACGCCGTCTTGCTACAGATGAAACTAGCGTAATGTGGTGAGAATGGAAAGACGAAAAATATTACCTATACGCTCGCTGCCACGCTGCACCGGAAAAGGACGAGTCGGTCGAGCATCCCGTATATGTACGGTGATTCAGGTCGAGCGAGACTTCCGGTCGATCGATAGCTCGAGCTTCGACTCACGGCGGTTCTTTCAAAATTCTCACTCACCTGAGAGGGATACATTCCGCAAACCGTACTTCGAAGACGCACTTAACTTTCTTTATTGCGATAAATTAAATGCAGCAAGTTAATAAAACTGAACAATATTTGACTATTTGTGTTGTTAAGCATTGTTCGATTCTACCTTGCATTCTGAACGACTCAGAAGGATTAGATTACATATTAACGGGGAATAATAACAAATAAAAAAAACACAAAGAGTGCACTCTCCGGAATTAATATATATAGGAGATGAAGAAGAAAGGTTTTACTTTGTGTTACTCTTATCTCTCTTATCGCGATAGTCTCTCATACATTTATTATATTATTATCTTGCGAAGAAGACTTGTAAGAGATCGAAATGTTTTGCTTTTATGTGTGTAACTATATATCTTTAATTTTTTGTTCACAAACATATTTAACATCTAGTTTTGCTCAAAAGTGACTTTTTTTATTATACTTATATGTTGTTAATAAGATTAGGAATTTGGAGAATAAAAAAATATGATTGGTAGATAACATAACGCAATTTTAACATCGTGAGACGATATAAATATACAATCAACTTTTATTTTACTTACATAAAGATACTTTGTGTCGAATTAATATACAATATAGTGGTCTACTGAAAGGGTGTAAAAGAGATAATTCTTCATTGCGAATTTTAACAATATTTACACACATATATGTAAGAAGAATTTCAGTAACATAAATCAGAATTACGTAGCATTTCAACACTAGTACTTATAGACTACTCTGTAGTAATAGTTATATATGTGTGTGTGTGTGTATGTACTTTATACGTATATATGCCAAGATTTCTTGTTTTGAAAGTGACACTTCAGTCTTACCAACTAATTTAACTTGAGAAAGTCAATTAGTGCATTGACGTAATACAGTACCTGACGAAATAAGCTGATGAACAATAACTGCATCAGAGCTCACGCAAAGATACACTTTATTACAATGTATCTGACTCAAATTACGTAATAAAGAATTACTGAAAATTGTTTGGACTCCGGTTTGAGCCGCATTGGTGTCACTTTTATTACCGACGCTTAAACATTTTAGTTCACTTCATCAAGAACAAAATTTAGTTCACTTTATCAGACTGCTCTTGCACTTTGATGACGTGAAATGAAAGTCCACGAAACGTATAAAAATAACATTAACGCTCCAGTTCAAACTTGAATCTTCAAAAATTCTTCTAACAAACCAGGAAAATATCAAGTATCAGACGTAATAAAAAATACTCGTGCGTATGTAAAGTAGATACTGATTTTGACTGAGTATCAATAATAATTAGATTACTCAAGCGCGATCGAGTTAAATGTGTTATTCCGGATCAGGAGTGGCACTTTGCTGTTCCTCCTTCTCTTTTTCTTTGGCCTTAGCATCGGGAACCCACAAACCACTATCGACACACCGTTTCATATGATACGTCGCTTCTTCTTCCGGCATCGCGGCTATTGTTTGTTGCAACAGAGGAATATCTTGGGTTTCGAAGCATTTTTTTAAGGCCTAAAACGAAGGAAGATTTTGATTTGACAGAACGTTCTGATTTTAACTTATACATTTCACAAAAGTTTTTTTTTCTCTCTATTTACCTCTGGGAGACTTTCAAATACTTCTACCGGGTCGAGTCCACCAGGACCTAAACGAGCTTTTCTTTCTTCTTCCTCGGCTTCTCTGACCGCTTCGGCCACTTTCTCAGCGGCTCTTTTGCGTATTCGCTCCTTAAACGCTCGAAGTTCATCATCAAATGAGTTCTTGTATTCTTTTACCTCAGGCATCTGAATGCGACTGAAGAAGGAGCCCACGCACGCCCGTGGATCAACATCCAATTGCTTAGATAGCTCCAATATGTATTGCATACAAATGCACTGGTGAGCGACGTGCTCCATCAAGTCGTGTTTCTGAAAATATACAAGAAACATTACAGCAAAATTTATTAACTATTTATCAACTATTTACTATAAAAAAAACTTATACGGAAGACTAACTTCTTCCATTTCTAGGTTGATGCACCAGATAACCAAATAGTTCGCTGTATTCTCGCAAGCTAAATGTGGATGCTCTTGCAAGAATTTCTTGCTATCGTCATATTTTCTTAGCATACCAAATTGCTTCAAGTTCTTCTCATTTTCTTTAACAAATTGTTTCATTCGTTTTTCTTTCTCGTCATCGGACAAACCAGCTTCTTCGTCTTTTCTGGGAGATTTTGTGTTTATTACAGTTTTAGTGAAACCATCCTGACCAATAGTGTCTACATTCCATGGTGTCAATCTTTCCTTTTTCTGCATTTCTTCCTCTTTCTCCTTAATCATCTTTTGTTCTTTCTCAAGGTCGTGAATAACTTTCTTCAACGTAGTTAAGTCTGCCGAGTCTTTCTGCTCACTTTCCAATTTAGCCAGTTTCTCTTTTGTATCCTTTAGTTTTTGCAATGTTCTAAAATAATAAATAAAATATTAAACACATGTAGAAATTAATTCACTAAGTCTGAGAATATCAGTTATAATATATTTCTTCTTTTGCATACTCTGCCTTCTTTCTTTCATGTTCCTCGTGTTCTCTCTTGCGCTCTTCCATTCTTTCCAATCGTGCCTGATGACGCCATCTAAATAATGATGGTGTGTCAATATTTGGATGTGTATCATCCTCATCATCTGAAATCTAGTAATATTACCCGTATTAGTCTAAAACTTCTTTCGTGTTAAATTTATCAATAATAAATTATAATTGTAGTAATTATTTGTGTATACAAACTAATAAAGAACTTGTCACATTAAGCATACTGCAGTAAAATCTATACACCAAAATTTATACATTTAATAATTCTAAATATATTTTATATTTATAAACGTTTTTTAATAACTTTTGAGACGCACGATAACTAACATTTAAAAAAAATATAAATGTATTATAACAATCTCCGTCTTAAAACATTGGCAAGCGACGGGATGTCATTTCGAATCTAGAATATTCGAGGCGTGTGGACCGGGAAGACCGCGAGCGACGTACTCACCTCGATACTCTTCCACTTGCTGTAATCGACCATTGTTATACCCGTGTCAGTCAATCACCACCTGTCAGATAATTGCTTTGTAACGTGCTGCACGACAATCTTTTTCGCAGTAAGTATTGCGCACGAGATCGGCGAATCGCTTGGTGTGTGAGATGCGCTGATCTTCTAGCCGACTCTGTCCAACTTTGATTGTCAACTGTACCAGGGATCAGGGATGCCAGATTCCGGCCGCTTGGTAGCACGCGCCACGCGGTAGCATGGAGGGGATGCGCACACAGCTTCATGTCACGGCTCGAAGCTGTGTGCGCATCCCCTCCATGCTACCGCGTGCTACCAAGCGGCCGGAATCTGGCATCCCTGCCAGGGATGCCAGTTTCAAGACTTTTGCAGCATGCAACAGCAAGTGGAGGGGATGCGCACACAGGCGAACAACCGTGTCCGTGTGCGCTCGGCGCTTCGGCCAACTTCGAGCAGTAGACGGAGACGGATATATATAACCGCTCTCTGTCTTTCCCNTATATATATATATTTAATTTTTATAAAAACCATTTTTATTACGTAAACAATATTAAACTTCCAAGTTTTAAAAATAAAATATGTTATAACAAATAAAAAAGTTATATTTAAGCTATCTTCCGCTAGCTAGCCTCCCGCTAAAACTACCGCGCATCTTCATAGATACGTCACTGGATTCTCTCGGATTTCGTCGCGCATGCGCGTACAGCCTCTCCAATATCGGAACACTGATTGCGCTGGCTTACAGGGTGGAAAAGCGATTGCACATTCTCTTATAGAGGCCTGGCTGCTCTCAGTTTTTTCTGTTTCTGTGATACATGTTTTTAGGTTACATATATGTTTTAGGTTTTAGGTTACAAAGCATTGTACTCAGAATAGCGTATGGGCTGGATTTTATAGCCCGCGAGCCACAACTGCACATACAAACCATTGTAACTAAGATAAACATAACACGTTTAAGTAACTTGTATTTATCAAAATTGTATTAATTTTGTTTTGTTCATTTCTTGTGGAAACTGGAGTTTCCGCTAAAAAATTTTTCTTGGGAGATTAACGGTTTTAAAGATTGGTTGTACTTGAGACGTTACGAGCGGTGGTGCAAACTTTTGATATTTTTATATATGTGTATTGTTTATTGTGAGAAAAAAATATGATTGGAATGAGAATGAATGCGTTTAACGATACTGGTCTTGGAGAACCTGAACAAGACGCGAATACAGCACTTATAGAACTTGACAAAGGTTTGCTTTTGTTTTTTTTTTTGTTACATTTAACTTATAAGAATGCTTTGTATTTTATATTCACTGATGCAAAGTATAACAGAAATATATTAATTCAGTAATTTAAACACTATAGTTACAAAAATTATATGTACGTGTGATGTATTTTTATTAAATCTGTGTTGTAATTTGTAATAAGCTAATGTGGTTCTGCAGGTTTACGATCTACCAAGACTGGAGAACAATGCGAAGCTATAGTACGCTTTCCTAGATTGTTTGAGAAGTACCCTTTCCCAATTTTAATAAATTCCTCTCTGTTGAAATTAGCTGAAGTATTTCGTACTGGAAGCAACTTTCTAAGAGTATGGGTTCTGAGAGTGTGTCAGCAGAGTGAGAAACATCTGGATAAGATTTTAAATGTAGATGAATTTGTAAGACGTATTTACAGTGTAATACATTCAAACGATCCAGTTGCTAGAGCTCTCACTCTTCGGACATTAGGCAGTATAGCGGGCATTATTCCTGAAAGACAACAAGTAATGCACTTTAAACTCTTTAACTAAAATTCAAATATATACTATAATAAAAGAAAACATGAGATATAAATAATTTTATTTCAAGGTACATCACAGCATAAGAAGATCTCTGGATTCTCACGATTCTGTTGAAGTAGAAGCTGCAATATATGCTGCTCAAATGTTTGCTGCACAGTCCAAGTTATTTGCCGTATCCATGTGCAGCAAAATTTCTGATATGATTAAGGGCCAGGCTACACCCGCATCAATGAAATTGCAACTCATACCCATTTTGCAATATATGCATCACGATACTTATACTGCATCAATGGTATGTAATATTGGTTTTACAAATCGATATGTTCGTCTGTTTTACATTATACAATATTTCATATTATTTCGTCATTTTGCGTACAAAACTTTTGAAATAAATGTACATAGGTTTTGATATTATTTAATTGTTTGTATTGAAGGTAAATGAATTATGCATGGAACTTCTTGCGAGTTATCCTGCTGCTGAATTCGTCAGAGTCACTCTGAGTGCACTGACGACACTGGCTACTGCGACATTGATACACGTCCCTCAACAAGTATTGCTGTTGTTGTCCTATTTGGAAGATGATCCAAGACTCTCTGTTAAGCGCCATGCTTTACACCTTTTGCACGGATTGGCAAGAAGCGGAGCGCATCTTTGGCCACAGGGTGCTCTTAACAAATTAATTGGTACGTAAATATTAGACTTGTATATTTTATCATGTGAATAGTAATTTGTATTAAACTAGTATAATCAGTAATTTAATTATTCAGAAAGTACTACAACACTTTTGCAAGATGGTGCAGGAAGTATTGATCTACTTATTCGTACTTTGGACGTAATTGAGGTCAGTTGAATCAGTATAAATCACTCTCAGCTGCTAATTGTTTTACAATCTACATATATATTTAATTATTTAAATATATTAGGTACTTAGTCAAAATGCAGTGACATGTGACGCAAATACCGACGAGAACAGTCCCCTTCTGCAATTGTGTTTAAACGCTTGCTATTCTCCCGATCTGTTTGTCGCGGTAAAAGCGATTACTATACTTTCCAGAATTGCTTGCTACTGGTGTGTACACGCAGTCTCCTTAACGTACACGATAGAATTAATACGATTCCTCTATTTTTAACACAGTTTCTTTATTTTTTAACAGCTATAAAGAAGGATTACCTGTTTACGGTATACAAGACGTGATCGCCTGTCTGGAGTCTCTGATCGTGTTGTTAGTTTTAGATGACAAGCATTTGCATCAGTTGAAAGCGTGTTTACGTTCAACGGTGAAGCTTTGTCAGTCGCAACCCAGTCATTGTGCTGTGTTCGTTGATGTTATCGGTTTCACACTCACAAATACCAGTTTGGAGAACAGTCAAAACGAGAAGCAAACAATCGTTTTGTGCGAGGCTTTAGGTGCTATTGGTAGTTTGTGGGAAAATACGTTGCTCCCACTTCTGCCAGATATTTTGGCAAAGCTTGAACAGACCTCACATGTACATACGAAGGTAAACTGTTTTTTTGCAAAATGTTTGAGAAATTACTTCTCTCTTTTAGAATTAATTCAAATAAATAATTTTCTCATTTATATGCAAAATATGCATTCTAATATAAGGTGATGCTGTGTACATTATTATTTCAAATGGTGGCCGGAGGATATGAGTGGAATTCAGAATGTTTAGAAACAGTAGACAACGTCGTAAAAAACTTGGATGGTTGGGCAAAATATCGCATTGCACGTAGCGCCGCAAGATACGGTCATCACACAATTGCTACTGAAATATTTAAAAGTCTGAAAGAAACTGTTGCGTCGGAACAGCTGCACTTTTGGCTATCCGGTTTGGAATTGGTTACAAAAGCGGAATGTTGCCTCATGTATGTACACGGTTCATTCACATATAAAAGTCATTAGAGATTCTCTCATCGATTTATGGATTTTTTTATATTTTCTCTTTCTAATGATAATTCCCGTCACAATATTTATATAAAGAAATAAAACAGAGGGCGTAGAGATACCGACCAAGGCAGAGATCGTGGAAAAATTGAACGCAGCAATAGCGCATTATTCAAGCGCTTGTGCGTCCCTCAAAGCCGCAAGCACTCCGTTACGCAGTTTGCAGTTTCCTAGTGAATACTCGAAATTACGTTGTGAATTTTTACAGACTCTGGTGCAGTTGTTGCACTCGTGCATGTAAGTAACAGTAAAATAATTTTATAAAAAAAATCAGTTACAGAATATTGTAATAAGATTGGTTTTAGTTCTTTATGTACCGCACCACCGCCCGCTATAGCTGTTACAGTGGTTCATACAACGAAAGATGATATGCAGAGATACGGACGTGTTACGCACCAGGTCTGATTCATACAACGTAACTGAAATATAGATCATCCATAGTCTCTGTATGCTCATATAATATGTATTAATAGTGTATTTTTGACACTTTTTTTTTTAGTTAAGAAAATCAGCGCAAGATTTGAAGAACTGTGCGGAAAATTACCAGAAACTATATCAGTCAGCGTTCGACGCTGATCCGGGATCGTTAACGAATATTCGGGCGTATCCTTTTGCTAAGCCAAGTTTTAATCGCAATTGTTTATTGATTTATACGAGTGTTTGATTGTTTATCTTAACTCATTCATGCAGACTACAAGAAATATGCCGATTGCTGGCGAACAGCGTGGAACGAGTTTGCGGTGGACCCGCTATCTCAATGTATCCGCAGCAGAATGATTCCGTAAATTTTCACTTTGACGATTCGGTAGAGATGAGACAACTAGCTTTTTGTTGTTCAGAGCTGCGTCATTTAGCACCATCGAACAGTGAAGGCAAAGCTGGAATAAGTCACGTGAGAGTTAGCTCTCTGATCTCGCAAGTGACGCTGCTTGCCGACGGGACGATGAGACTGCCAATTCCACGGTACTTTTTTCAAACTCTGCAAACCACCAGCATTAAGTTATCGGTGTCACCACAACCGCGTGTTCTCGGTGAACCAGTGTCGGTGCCGCAAGGCAGTCAATTGGCGCTCAAAGTTGAGGGAGTGCTACGACATGGTCGACGAGCGTCTCTCTTCCGATCTGTTGCTGCTGTGTGCATTTCCATATCGACAACGCCGCCCTCGAAGATCAATTCTGATCAGAAGGTAACTCACAAATTGTTACTTGTAAGTGTGTATTCGACTCGCATAATTCGCAATTGTTTGCAGGATTCCAACATAAATGAATTACAACAAACGGTAACGCCTCATCGCGATTTCTTCGCTTGCGAATTTTTGCTCTCTCTAGGACTTCCCGGGCCCGCGATTCCGCCATGCATGCCCGGTGCAAATCCCGTTGCTTCTGCGAGTGGCGGTCAGTATCAAATAACGGCGAGCGCGAGTATACTCGATAAGGACGGCAATGTGTGGAAATGCGGTCCGCGATCCACTCTTCCTGTCAGAGTACACGAGGAGCCGGGAAAGCGAAAGATGCCTTAATAAAAACAACGTGCCGATATAATTGTGTATTTTTATATCGCATTCAAATAAATTCTTAGAGTTAATGTGTATATACGGATATACACAGGATTACATTTTATATATGAATCTTGATGTTAATCCATTTTTAAAAACAACTATGTTATTTAAAGTGTCATAATAGACAAGTATCTATTATCATCAAGATAATATAATTACACTATTACCGTGATACACACAAGCATAATAAAAAGCATTATTTTAAAAAGAAATTTATTTATAATTGTTTACAAGATAAACAATCCTCAAAACAATAATTCCACAAACAATAATTGAATATTTCTTATATTTTTTCATATTTCAATTTTGAACTAATATTAAATAGACATATAGTATCTTCTATTTCACATAACCGAAGATTTTATACACGTCTTAGTATAATTCATCGCGATGTTTTCGCGAAAAAATTCATTTTTTTACAAGTTTGCGGGGAAAGAACTGTGCGTATTTGTTTTCCAAGTAACAATTTATTTTGCATTTGTTTGCGCGTTTGCGAATTATGCGGGATTTTTGCACCGACATCGGTGTGACGTTAGCCGTCAAGTAGCGCGAGTCGACGTTCGAGTGGACGCGCGGTCCCATAAAAGGAAGATCGCGAGAGTGGCGGGCGCACAGTCGCGCACGGTCTATCCGCCGATACGGTACGCGCGGCAACTCGCGCTCGCGGCATTCGGTTATTCGAACGACACACTGCTACAAGAAGCAACAGTATGTCCACGAAGAAGATTGTTTCCCTGCTGCCGGTTGCCGACCTGCCGCACTATTGAACTTCGTCGCGCGTACATGCGTGCGGTAAGTCGTATAAAAATGTTATTTCATTAACAACTTTTTACTCGAGAACATTTTCATGCGCGCCGTCATCCGCCTGTTTTACGGCTTGAAGTTAGTCAGACGTCATTTATAATATAACCTCGCACACATCTCGCGAACTTTTAATAGTTAAAAGTTTTTTAATGGTGACCGCAAGAGTTTCATCGCGTTTTTCTTGTGACATTTATGCGACAATTCTCGCGTATGTGACAGTAAATAGTTGCCGGAAATAGGCGCCATTTTTTAAATTACATACAACCGTTACCAAAAGGGAGCACAACACACTATTTTTTTGTTAATAATATTATTCTACTTTTCTAAAATTATAAATCAAGAAGTACATATTGCAATGAAAACAATTATATCTGCTGTGATTATATTTAATATATTTTGACATTTTTCAAATATTATGCCAGCATCCGCGTTATTTTTTAAATTTATATTGTTGCACATTTTCATGTATAAATAAATTTATCTACTTTTCCAAATAAATAATTTGACAAATAAGTTCCGATTTCTCTGGAGCGCGGGAGCAAAACGTACACCGCGAGATATCGAAGGGAAATGAAAGTCAGGCAACCCGCCGAATTGCCGAACTTCGGGTTCCTGAGATTAATTTGCCCCGGTACTCGCAGGAGCTTCGGAACCGCGGACATTGGACTGAGTCTTAGAAATTGAATATGAGATCACAAGCGCGCTGTTCGAGTTCGGTAACCACATCGAATCTTACTAGAGATGTGCGAATCAAAGATTTTTTATGTCGAATCGAATCGAATCGAATTAACGAATTTTCATTCGAATCGAAGCGAATCGAATTACAGTAGACTCCCGCTATAGATTCGCTGTAGGACGAACATTCTCGGAAACAGAGGTGCCAGAT